TGATCTGCTCCGTTTGTGTCCCAGTGATTATGGATTCTAATATGGGGGCAGTAAATTGCCATGACTTTTTAGCCGATTATTTTTATTTCTCTCATTTGAGAAATGTGGATATCAGTGTAATTATTTGAAAAGGTCACTGTTATTGCATGTAATCAGAGTCACTGAGATTTTCTGTTTTAAAGCTGAGAAAATGGAAGCATCAAAAGGTTTCCAAACAAAAATTCACTGTAGTACACTAATTAAGAAATTAGTTTTGCTGTGATGCTATTTACAGAACAGTTTGATTTCTTTTGTTTTATTTCTTTCTTGGCTGAGACAAATTACAGCAATTTTTCCGCCAACGCATTGGTCCAAAAGAGTGCATTGGAATTAGCTTTTCAAAACCACAGATAGCACTAATTAAGTATAAACATATAGATAGCAGGTTTTGAGTGAAAAACAATTGCTCACTTTATCCGGTGTATAATTTGTCTCTCTTGTTGTAAATTCCTTTGACATTAATGTTCAAAGTGTTGGAGGCAGCCAGACTGTATCTGTTATAAATTACTGCAGTGTGCTTGGTTAGGATGTAACTCTCATAAATATGAATTTGATCTGAGCAGTGCCCCCTTCACACACCTTTTTTCCCTCACTTCTCAAAAGCTCATCCTGTTGGCCTGATAAGTTAGTTTTTGTGGCTCAGGTGGTTTGTACACACAGGAGCGTGGGGGAAGACATACGGCAAAGGTCATCACGCCGAGAATCGAACCTGCTAAGGCTGGATCGAGGACTAAGGCCTCCTTAAGTGGGTTGTGCTCTACCCCTGCGCCACCACAGCACCAGTTTAGTAACTTTTTAACCAAAGTATTTTTGGGTTGTTTTATTACTGTCTGGATGAGTTGTACCTGTGAACGTTCAACACTATTTCATCTTTTCACCAGTTGCATATAATGGCTGTCACTGTAATTCACAGAAGTCCTAAAGCCTTAGAGATGGCTTTTAAACCTCCGAAGAAGTTACTTTATTTCCAATCTGTTATCTTTCTTTAATTGGGACATTCCTTAAGTGTGCCAAAAAAGAAAAACACACCAAATCTAAAAGGGGGTAAATATTTTTTCTGAATACCTTTTTCTGCAACTCTGTCCATGTGTCACGTGTTTCAATAAAGTGTTTTAAGCACACCTTCAGAGGTTACACCACTAGAGAGGGAGTTCCTCTACCTGTACAACATCATTCAAGTTGCCCGAGGACAGTGACAAGACAAATTTGCTGGTAGGACGAAAGCAAAGAATGTGGCAATGAAGTGCTCACAGAGTAGCGGCACATTGGGGACCGTGTCGGGTAATGCGGCTGACCTGTCAGTGATTGATACGTCCAACACTGGGCTACTGGTAATACTTCCTGCTGCATTAAGACAGGACATATTTCAGAGCAAAGGGGTGCGGATCAGCAGGCCGGTGATTACGATAACATAAACAGGGGTGCAGCAAAGGTCCCAGTCAGCTGGAACAATAAACTAATTGCGGTGTCACTGTCCTCCCCGCCATGGTACCGATGCTCCACATGCGAGTAGTAACAGTGCGGTTCAAAGAGCCCAATGCACTGGGGGGCCATTTTTTATTTTGGGGGATGATGGCCTGCAACTGATGTCATTATGAACCCTAAATCAACTTTCTGCTTGCTTGAACATGGTCACCTGGGTACCCAAGGACAAGGACAGGAAAAGGTTGAAGAGCTCGGCCTGTCTCTGTGCCAGAGCTACCTGCAGAGGTAAAATTGAGTTGTCGGGGCGGTGATCAATCAAGTGTCCCAACAACATACATTTTTTAAAGTGCTTGTCCATATTTCCCAGTCGTAATAGGCCGGAAGAGTTGTGTTGAAAAATGGAAAGAAGAAAGATAAACCAATCTGCACAAAACTGGGCAGCAAAGAAAAAGATTCCACACTCCAATGTCATTATGTTGTCCTACAGTAATCAGATGTAAGGAAACGCAAAATATAATACCCAGGGAGACATTTGTGTAATGATCTTTTATTGTCATTTATGAGGAATCATGAGGTATAGCTGTTGTTGAGGTTTCAGGAGGTTAGGGGGTTAGATTGGTGCGAACAAAGAGTAATAAAGTCGGTGGCACGTTGGTCTCAGTCCGTTACCTCTCTCATCACACCGGTCGATCCGCCTTGGTTTCATCTGACAAAACAGCGGAGTCGGAGGGGGTCATCTGGACTGCTGGGTAATTGAGCTGATGTTGGGCTGCCCCGTCAAGCAAACCGGCTAAAAATACATCACCCACTGTCACCGAGAACTGAGTAGGTGTGGGGAGGAAATGATAGCCCCCGCTGTCAGAGCATTGGACACTCACGTCAGTGTTGACCTTCCCCTTCGAAACCCTTTGAAAGAAAAAAACAACTTTTACTCCCAAATGTCTTTACACCGCCAAAAACAATGAGGGATCTATAAATATTACAGCGGAAAATCAACAAGCAGCGTATTAGTATGCCATAACACAGGCAGCAATGTTAAGCATGTTTAGCCTGTCATAGACGTGCGCTTCGATTAAGGCACATCAAGGCATTGAGGGGAATAAGGGTGAATACAGGCAGACAGAATAGAGCAAGAGCGGCGAGATACGGGAATGAGGAAAGACGCTCCTTGGAACGTGGAAAGGTTATTGATTTGTCCTGCAATCAGTTCCTGCTCTTTGATATGCAAACGATCTAGTGTGAGTTAACAGCAATCCTATCAGAATCATTTCACAGTTCTTAGCCCCTCACGTCTCTTCGGAGTCCTGCGCCTCATTAGGCCAATGTTCTCTATTACCAGCGTAATTAAAATCTTTAGTAGCTTATCATATTAAAAATATTTTTCTGCTGATCGCACTGAGATCTTCACCTCAGTTATTTTTCACAACAGGAATAAATTAAGACTAAGCATTTTGCACACAATGTATTAACAATCTGGCGCTTGAAAGGAGCACTTCTGCTATCTGTAGAGATGTTGATGAGAAGTGGGGGGGTGGGTAAAAGGGGATCATGTGCAAATCATTTTTCATTTGGCAGTGCTCATTTTGAGAATGACTTTAATTAATTGTAATTCTAGATGAATGGTCTCTCCCATTTACTTTGCGGTTCAACCAACCACACATCCACAGGCTTCCTTCACCACACCGAAAATATGTGGCTTGCTTTACAGATTAAAACAAAACAAAAGAAAAAAAAAAAACAATCCAGACACAGAGCCTTGCAGAAGTACTCAAACCCTCTGAAGCCTTTCCATATTTTGTTCCGTTCTAACCTCAGATGTCTGTGTGTTTTGGGGGGTTTTGAAGTGATTAGACATTGAGTTGGGTATAATTGTGCAAAGGTGAAGGATCCATTTTGTCAGAATTCTTTTGCGAATAAAGATCTGAAAGATTCGGGTTGCATTTATACTCAGCCCCTCTGATTTAATACTTAATAGAACCACATTTTGTTTAACAGCTGCAAGTCTACTTATGTGTGCATAAGCTTCAAATATCTAGAAACTTAAATTACGTTAGTCTTTTATTCAAAATTACTTAATTGCAGTCAGAATGAATGGAGAGTGTCTGATCAATTTTCAAATTTCGTTACAGATCTCACTCATAATTATTTTGTAATACAAACTATTTAAATTGTACCTCTGTTTAGGGGTATAGTCCTTAAATCCAGTTCCTTGCATTTTTAGTCTTGGCTCTTTTTCCGTTATTGCCTTCAGTCCTATTAATTCCGACCAGTTTCTTTTTGTCCACTGAAGAAAAGAATCCCAATAGCATAATGCTCCCACCACCATGTTTCTTAGTGGTTACCATGAGCTCAGGGAGGTTTGCATATCAGATTTTCCACTAAGGATGAACTGATATGAAAATTTAGGCCAATGTTGATGTCAAGATAGAAACAAAAATCATTTGTTGATATCAGTTTTACTTATTGAACCAATACCAATATGTTAAAAATAACCAGTATTGGCCGACACCGATGCAGATGCCAATATATGGTCCTCATGACTTTGTTTATTCATTACTGAGGCTGCAATGGACTTTATTCAATGACATGATAGTTAAAAGTACAGAATCTTTACCCCAAAATGTGTGGTGTAACTTGACAAACTGCAGAAAACCTCAACGTGTAAGAATACTTTTGCACTGGATCCTCTTAGTCACTTCTGTTTTTTTTTTTTTTGTTTGGACAAAAAAACCTTGCCTCATTCTTTGTATCAACTTTGTCCTTTCTGTAACGTTCTAAGTCAGAGAATCAGACATTCCAACGACGGACACATCTGCCAACTAGGTTTCCTATCTTCATGACACAGAAAGTAGTTTGAATAAACACATCTCAATTCTTGGTCTTAGCCTGAGCGTCCGCCATCACTTGCAGACATTGAAAACATACGTCCTGTGGACACCTTTCCAGCAAATAGAAAAATTCCTCCCTGTCTTCAGGTGATTTTTACTTTTTTTTTTTTTCTTCCAAAGCAGTGCGAGTGCCACAGCGTGCTTGACTTGTTAAATGAGGTTTAAGTCTTCTGTGTCAATTGGAGGCGGTGCGGAACCTTAAGTATTTTGCACATTAATGCGCTCTTGAGAATATTACCCCCGGGTCTTGTATTTCAAGGAGACAGAGGCTGGGATGTTTTCCACTGTTGCTATTCTGAAAGTCTTTTGTTTTTTCTTCTTCACATCTCTGTTGTTGGGAGACAGTGACGATGATTATTCAGATTTCATGCCTTGTCTGGATGTTAATTTACTCTAGGCATGAAATGTGCATGAATGCCAGGGATTTGTGTATACAAACACGCTTTGAATCACATTGAAAAAGAAAATGGAAAGAGAGATGAAGGCAACGGATGGGAGGGCTGTTGAGATTCTTGTTGTACCCTGTAGTGGAGTATTTCCTAATTAATACTCCAGCTTTGTTTACAGACGCTTTGATTTAATTAGGCGATGAAGAAGAGAGTTGGATTAGCTGCTAATTGATTTAATTATCCAATTTGTTTGTCTCAGGCATGATTCCAGCAGAGCTCCAGCAACTGTGGAAAGAGGTGACGAATGCCCATGTAAAGGAGGAGCACAACAACGGCAGCAGCAACAACGGCCACCGGGGCCTCGACCTGTCTTCCTCGGCGCCACCAAAGAACCCGGTCCTCAACCAGCATGCTGCCACAAATGGCCAGTACATGAGTCACAAAAGAGATGGGTGAGTTTCGTTTGAGACTACAATGTTAGGTGGTGGAGTTCCTTAATACTAAAACATATTCTTTTATTTATTCTCTCTAAGGATGCATTCACACGCACCCTTTTTAGTCTGCTTTAATTGAACTCTAGTTTGTTTGCCTAGAAAGTCCGGTTTGTTTGGGAACATGTGAATAAGCATTCAAACACCAATTCGGACCAAAAAAGTGAACTGTGGTCTCCCTAAAAACCTGGGTTTCTGTTCATTTTGAAGTGAACTCTGGTGCGGTTCGACTGCATATCTGAACTCCAAGCAGACCAGAGTCTGCCCCAAAATCAGGAAGTGGCATAGCGCAGGGCATTCTGGATAAGAACAACCAAATACAACCAAAAAAAAAAAAACAGCCCTAGTCTAGCAGTAGTGGAAGAAATGTCTTGTGGTATTTTACAAAAACAACAGAGAAATTCTCCAACTGCTAAAATCAAATGCCACTATCATGCCCAATCTGTACTTGAAGCACGATGTGTACTGTTGACTCATTTATGCATGCACTGAAGAAATAATTCTGCATTATTCTTAAAATGTAAAGTGTAAAGTTCATATTAACTAAAATACTACATGTTATAAGAGGATCTGTATTCTTGGAAAATGCTATACAGTGATCCCTCGCTATAACGCGGTTCACTTTTCGCGGTCTCTCTGTTTTGCAGATTTTTTTGTGCAGTCTTTTTCACAGTGCATTGTCTGCGTCCTGATTGGCTAAACAGTCTCCGAGCTCCTTCTCTACCTGTGTGCCAATAACGTTACGGTATTTAAATATAAGTAATACAGCTTGGCCATTCAGGAGATGGAAACTGAAACTTTGAATGCCAACTGGAAAAAACTGTGGCCAGAGGCAGCAGAACCCGAGCGCTTGCTTGACGAGCTCCATCGCTCTGTCGTAGATACAGCTGTGAATCTCGCGGCTCAGGTTGGAGGAGACACTTTAATGACATGACTCCGGATCACATTAAGGCCCGATTGATGAACACGCACATCCGCTGACCTGAAAACAGGTTTTGTTCTTTGGTTTCAATGTAGAGTATTTAATTATGCTGTATAATAACTGTAAAAACTAAAGGTAACTCCTTCGCGGATTTCACTAATCGCGGGTTATTTTCCGAACGCAACCCCTAAGAAAAACAAGGGATCACTATAATTCTTTTATTGAATAATAATAGTCATAATTTAGTTCAAAGATTATAATTGATTCAAAAATTTACTGGACTGTTAACATGTCCTCTGCTGGACACCTCATGGACAAACAAAGTCCTTATTTTTATAATAAATGCATCTCTTATGAGATTAACTAATAGTGTACATTGGGTAGAGAAAGTATTCAGGCCCCATTAAACTTTCCACTTTTTCATTGCAGCCATTTGCTAAATTCAAAAAAGTTCATATTACTTCTCATGAATCCCATCTTCTGTTTTTTTCTGTCAAGAAAAAAACAGAAATGTAGAATTTGCAAATTCATTAAAAAAGAAATACTAAAATATGACATGGTCATACATATTCAGTCCCTTTGCTGTGGCATTCATATCTATATTCATATGTGCTGTCTGTTTCCTCTGATCCTCATTGAGATGGTTCTACTGCTTCATTAGAGTCCAGCTGTGTTTAATTAACCTGAGTGGACTTGATTAGGAAAGGCACACATCTGTCTATATAAGGCCTCACAGCTCACAGTTCATGTCAGAGCAAATGAGAATCATGAGGTGGAAGGAACTGCCTGAGGAGCTCAGAGAAAGAAGGTAAGGTAAGGCACAGATCAGGCCAAGGTTAGGTTGCAGCACTCAAGGTTCCTAAGAGCACAGTGGCCTCCATAATCCTTAAATGGAAGAAGTTTGGGACGACCAGAACTCTTCCTAGACCTGGCTGTCCTGAGCAATTGTGAGAGACGAGCCTTAATGAGAAGAA